TCGGTTTTCTGAGGCTCGGCAATAAAGTCTGAGGCTCAGGAATGATAGGGCTACCTATAGTCCGAGCCCCGGACTTCATAGTTGGGCGAGGCACAGGTGGTTGAAGGAGAGGAGGAGGGGAACCGATATCTCCTTACTTTTTCGGGTAATACATGTAGAAAAAAAGAAAAAAGCCACACATAGCACTCTGTCGAAAGCACATCCGGTAAAAGTCAAGCGCACACAACAATATGATACATCTTGTGGATAAATCCCTGGGCAAAAGAGCAGGTAGTGCTCCAAAAATGAACAATGACGAGCGCAGTCCACTAACTCTTGTCTCTGCGAACTTCCCAAAGTTTGTGGCGAAGAAGTGATGTACTGGCAGTCGAGGCGACTGAGAGAGCGGCTAATGAAGCGGAATGATTTATGCACGCGGGTAAGGAATATCGGTTTGAGAACACCATCAGGCACTGGAATGAGGTTCCTGAACTCTAACATATTGGCAAACTTGTAATGACTTGCCCAACGGTAGACACTCTCCATCGCGTTCCAAGTACCATCGTTCCATTTGTCAAAATGCAGGTTCAAGTACGGGACGACGGTCATCCATGGGTCCTTTTCAACGTCTTTTCTGGTTGCTTCATGGAACCACGTGGGACCCCTATAATGCCGCACTGATTTCACACAAGGAGGAAGCAGTTTTGTTAAGTGCATGTGCCTCTCGGGATTCCCACTGATGCTTGTTGACATTCTCGACGGTATTAGGCACCTTACACATTACACATACATGAACAAAACAAACGGACGGGTAGACACTCATAAATAAAGTTGGCAAATGACAACTCCCCTTATGAGGACAACGGGGATTGAACCGAAGACGCCATGGATGGTATCTCGATGGGTGTTCCGCATACATGGATACTATATCGAAACTAAAAAAGCATGTTCAACGCACGTTCGGCAGCTCCGCCTGGTACTTCCCTGTAAACGAACAATGGATCCCCTCCTACCATCAAATGAACGTTGGACCCCCCCTTCCCCCAATGAAATTGAAGGGGGGTGGTTGTAATTGGTCCCGACGCTCCATACAGGCCGGATCCCCCTGCCCGAAGGGGTATGTCGTTTATGAAACTGCGGCCCCATTTGGAAGGGAGGGGGTCCAGTGTTCCCGGCACGCCGCACCCCCTCCCCTCGGAATGGGGGGTTCGGCGCCGACCTTGCGTCGGACCCCTCTTTGCCAGTCGTTGTCATTTCATAAACGTTTGATCCCTTTTGGCAGGTAGGGGGTCCATCTTTTCAGAAACGGCAGACCCCCTCCTTGTCGAAAGGTGTCAGTCGTTCGGAAACGACTGACCCCATTTTGGTGGGGAGGGGGTCTGGTGTTTGTGAAACACAAGACCTCTTTTGGCAGGGAGGGGGTGCAACGTTTCTGAAACGCCAGACCCATCCTCTTAGAACAGAGGGGTCAGGCGTTTCTGAAACGCAAGACCCGAGCATGTATATAAGGGAAAGGGGCGAGGGGGGTCCGGTGTTTCAGGAACGCTGGACCCCATCTCTACGAAAAGGGGGTCTGACGTTTGTGAAACGTCGGACCCCGTCCCTGCCAAGAGATAGGGGTCCGACGTTTATATAACGTAGGAATCCCTCCCTGCCAAAAGATAGGGGTCCGACGTTTATAGAACGCACGAGCCCCTACCTGCCAAAAGATAGGGGTCTGGCGTTTATGGAACGTAGGATCCCCTACCTGCTAAAGAGGGGCAAGGGGGTGGGGGTGGGGGGGGTTGTGGATCCCCGGAACCCTCCCCTGCGAAAGAGGGGAGGGGGGTCGTGTGTTTCTAGAACGTCGCACCCCTCTAGGTCTCTAAGATATCCAACGACTCATTTCATACGTTTGTCTGCGAAATCATACAAACCATGGAGAGATGATCCGAATATTATCGTTTGCATAGCTTTGAGCTTTTCGATATTCACCTTCCTAAAAATTATGATACACATGCATGTAGAAGGTCCATGCCTTCGTGCGATAGCGTCATCAATGATGTACATATAGACATTTTAGAATGATTTGTGTAATATCTCGTCTATGGTAGCTGACCAGATTG